AGGAGAACAGAAACTGCTCACTCTAATCTTTGCTAAGTTTGCAGGCTTTCCTATGGTACAGGGTGCCAGTGGTTACATGATTATTCATTTGTAGATGCTGCACATCAACTCTACCTTATTCCAGAGGCAGAAAAAGGATTCCACTCTCCCCATCGACAGCTGGCATATGATCATATGAATAATGAAGGTTCAAATCTAATATTCTGGCAGGAGCTAATTTACTTATGCTTGTGATAGCCCATCTGCATTGAGCCATATGGCAAACCAAATGATGGTACTGGATGATGAGGGCCGTTTGGCTAATGATTCCGGTAGCCAAGCCTTCTCTACATGCACAGCTTGCAGATAGTAAAAACCATGTGCCACACAAAACACGACAAAGCAGACTAGATCACTGGCACACTCAAACAATGTTTGTGCTGCCCCAGCTACTTTATGGTACTTGAGAAAGCATGCTGCACAAACACAACATCATGAGCAGACAGTCCTTGCTATAAGCTACAAAACTAAAACAGAAGCACGAAGAAAAGGAAGGGGAGAAGTAAAAGACAGGGCCTCTTGCTGGCTGCTCTTTCCTTCAAAATTCATTTGAGTGCAGCATCTGTAACTGCAAATCCATTTCCCTGTTCACCAGCAGCGCTGTACCTTCGCTTCTCCCTGATATTATCACAGAATCAGGATTGCAGTATACAAGGAGGCCATTTGGCCAGTCATGCATGCATTGGCTCCGTTATCTCGTCTGGATCTTTTATGCAGGCTGGCTCTGTTGTCTTGTGCCTATCTCCTGCCTTTTCCCCATATTCCTGCACACTGTTACTTTCCCAAAAAAATCCAGTGTCCTTTTGAATGGCTTGATTGAACCTGCCTCCAACATAATTTCGAGGCAGTGCATTCTATCCCTTAACTCCTTGCTATGTGAAAAAGGTTTTCTTCTTTCAGATAACCCTTGCTTCTGTTCCACATCACTTTAAACCAATGCTGTTCTCGTTCTTTTGCACGGTGAAACAGCTTCACCTTACTTGTTCTGTCCAGCCCATGGCACTGAGGGCAAATTACTGACATGGCTGAGAATTTGGTTGAATGGCAATGACAGAGTAGAGATAATTGTATTCAAATTGGCAGGATGTGACCTGTGTTGTCTCACAATGATCTGTGCTAGGATCTCATTATTTATTAACAACTTAGATAATGGCATAGAATGTCATATACTCAAATTTGCTGATACGGAAAGTTAGGCAACATTGGAGACAGTATAGATGATGGCATAAATTTATTCAGTGATTGTGATTGATGAGTGAATGTGTAAAACTGTGGCATATGTGGTTCAATCTAAGCAAGTGTAAGATTAACCATGTTGGACTAAGAAAGGACAGATCAGGGTACTTTTTGGACGGTATGAAGTTAAATACAGTGGATGTCCAAAGAGACTTGAGAGTTTAGGTGCGTAGATCTTTAAAATATCATGAACAGGTGCAGAAAGTATTAAAAAAAGCTAATGGAATGCAAACGTTTATATCTGGAGATCATAAGATTTAGAAGCAGAATTAGACTATTCAGGCCATTGAGGACTAGAGTATAAGGACACGGAAATACTGTTGTAGTTATGCAAAACCCTGGTTAGACCACACTTGGAGCACTGTGAGCAGATCTGGGCAGCACACCTTAGGAAGGTGTTATTGGCCTTGGAGGAAGTGCAGTGCAAGTTTTTTTTTCTGTTCATTTGGGGGATGTGGGTGTCGCTGGCTGGCCAGCATTTCTTGCCCATCCCTAGATGCCCTTGAGAAGGTGGTGGTGAGCTGCCTTCATGAACCGCTGCAGTCCTCCTGCTGTGGGTTGACCCACAATGCTATTAAGGAGGGAATTCCAGGATTTTGACCCAGTGAAGTGAAGGAACGGCGATATATTTCCAAGTCAGGATGGTGAGTGACTTGGAGGGGAACTTGGAGATGGTGGTGTATCTTTATGTCTGGTGTCCTTGTCCTTCTAGATGGAAGTGGTTGTGGGTTTGGAAGGTGCTGTCTGAGGATCTTTGGTGAATTTACAAGAATGCTATCTGAAATTCAGGGGTTAAGTTATGAGGAGAGATTATCAATGCTTGACCTGTCTTCCCTAGAGTTCACATGGTTAGGTGGTGATCTGATTGAAGTCTTCAAGATATTAGCAGGAAAAAATGGGATGGATAAATTATTTCCATTGGTGGGGGACTCGAGAAATAAGGAGCGTTGTCTGAGAATTAGAGCCAGACCGTTCAGGAAAAATGTTAGGAAGCACTTCTATACATAAAGTGTGGTAGATGTCTGGAGCTCTCTTCACAAAGGGCAATGGATGCTGAATCAGTTGGTAATTTTAAATCTGAGAAAGTTTTTTTTTGTTAAGCGGACATATTATGGGATATAGGCCAAAGGCATGTAGGATGAGGACAAAGATCAGCTAGGATCTCATTGAATGATGAAACTAGCGTAGGGGCTAAAATGCCTACTCCTGTTCCTATGTAGAAGATTCAGCTCCAAACCAGACCATTTAGTCATGAGTAATGACAGTCTGCATTGTTTGCGCAACAGACATTGGCATTGGCAAGAGTGGCAGGGTTGAAAAGGCAAATGCTCTCTTTGCGAGAGAGGACAACGGGTTTATGCTCCATTGGATTACTGCCACTCCCTTGGGTGGTACCTCAACAATCCCAGCAACCTGTTGGGTGTTGCGAAATGTATGGTTCTCCCGACCATCAGGCTAAAATCTGTAACTATTGCATTGGTCTGAGCTTTAATGACAGCACAGAAATATTGTGAGCCGACTGCACTTGAAGGTCAGTTAGGATGGCAATAAATGCTGACCCAGGCAGCAAAGCCCACGTTCCATGAATGAGTAAAATGAAATACTGGTCATCAAATGTTCAGATAATTATCGAATTCCCTTTGGAACACCTCAATTGAGTTTGGCTCAACCACAATCTGTGGCAGTGCATTTTCAATCCTAACCACTTGTTACATTAAAATATTCTTTGCCATGTCACTACCTTTCCTAATCAACTACAATCAACATCAATCTGTGTGCTATAATCTTTGTGATCCTGCTGCTAGTTGGGACACTGATGACTCCAGAGTACGTTCTACAGGCAGATGAGAATAAAATATATAAGGTCGATGAAAATGCGGTCAGTGTGGGAGAACAGACTCTAAACATGCTGAAGATTCTTTATAGTCACCTTAATAAATCCGATACTATGCGACAGTCAACCAAAGTCTCCAGGATAATTTCTGCATGTTGTGTGTATCGCTTGCGACATCAGAAAATTGAGCTGATAATGAACAGAGAGAAGAAATATCTGAAATCAGGATGCCACAAAAAGAACAGATTGTGAAGAAATGGGAAGTGGAACTGGTGAACCAAATGCCAGAACAAGGAAAGTGAAACTAAGTACTTGGATTTTAGAAAATACTCAGACAAATTTTTTCACTGTTCAAGACTCTCGGCAAGTTCCTTCACATGTCATACATTTCCATTTCCCTTGCAATCATCCCAACTCCCTAAAAAGGAATGTAAGGTGTCCTTTGTTTTTTTCCCCTTCAATACAGTAAGCCTATGAAAAACACCTTCCCTTAGACATCGCAGCCTACCACTTCCCCAAGGAGACTGAGTTGCTGTGGCAACTTGCACATGAAACTGCATGTTCTATCCTGGAGCTTTTGAGGATCCAATTTATTTTCATCACATTGCTGTGCAGGAATCGATAACATCTTTAGAGCCTGCCATTGGTGCAAATGGGATGGAATCACAAACTTGATAATCACCTTGTTTGGTTGTGCTACGAATGTAACCTCCTTGACCATCAAGTCCTTGAGTGGTTCTTGAACCTGGAACTTCTGTCTCGAACCACAAGACCTCCGTGATTTGGCTTGCAATTTGTATTTCAAATTACTTGCATATTTCCAACATTGAGATTATTTCTCAATGATATGAAGGGATAAATAATATCTGTTTTGTAGGTCGACTGCTAGAGAATTGGGTAATTCTGTTTTCCTTTACAATGTTGTAGCTTTCACTCTAAGGATGCCTGTGACTGGCTGTCATTCACGTGTCTTGCCTCTTCTGTGGTGGGCACATCCTCCTCCTCGGTCAATCAATCTTTCTTACTTGTTAGTTTCCTTTTCATCACTGACCTTTCCTCTGTGGGTTTTCTCTGTGTATTTTATTTCAGTTACGTTGAACACGAAAATCTTCCTTACTCTTTAACTTCCATTCTTGAACTTTCAGCTCAGAGTGACCTTTTAGAAACAAACCATTTTGAGAAGTAAAATATTCTTAACGATATTTATTAGCACAAAGAAATTCTGCTTTATCTGAGCAAACCTTTAGTGATCAACCAAGATGATAATTAAATCAGATGAATTATTTTCTATGGTGTAATTCAAATGGATAAGTATTAGAAACTATAATTAGAATTACAGAAATCTTACAATGCTGGAGCAGTTTAACAAGGGACAGATTTCACATTAAGTATCATACTTCTTTCCTGTGTAAAGAACTTAAAGTCATGATAAGAAAGATAATTTACCATATCAATAGTTTTTCAAGAGCTTTTCTGGCTTATTAATTTTATCGGTTTTGGTATCAGACCACTTTCATCAGTCTTTTCATTCTGAATCTCACAGACCCCTGTTGAAACTGATACCAGTCTTAATTAGAACTCTCTCAGCTCCCGGTCATTTTAACCATTTGACTAATTCTTGGAACTTGCTATTAACCATTTAGATGACCTTGAATGTCAGCATTTTTTCCAGAACACTGCTATTCCGAACAATGTGTTCATGATGTCTTATTTTTGTTACCAGTACATGCCCTGCATTGCCAACAAAATATACTGTCAGTTGTAAATGTTCCACTTCTAACATCCATAGTTTTCGTTTGTGTTAATCTGAAGCATACTGTAATTATTTTACTGCAACATTTTTATGTTTGATTCAAAAGCTGCAAACGTTTTCTTTATATGTGTTTTGCAGCCGCTGAAACCAATTGACTGGAATGGACCTGGACTGAGATACAAAGTTAGTTGGAGACGGCAAGGGGCTAACACAACGTGGAACGAAGAAGTGGTCAATAAGCATCACTACTTTGTTACGAATACCTCAACATTTGTACCTTATGACATCAAGGTGCAAGCAATAAATGATGTTGGATCAGGCCCAAATCCAAAAGTCGTTACAGGATATTCAGGAGAGGATAGTAAGTATTTTTGACTTTTATTGTCCTGTGAAATGCTGTATTTGAGCAACACTGCAAAAATAATTTAATTGTTTCAACATTTTTTTTCTTTTCGTCTGTATAAAGTTCATCTTTCGAAGGACTATCATTAAAGATGCATCAAAGCTGTAGATAATGGAGCTTATTTTTGGATAATTGTGAAAACAATTACTTTGACATTCAAAAGTAGGGTTATAATGTATATAAATATTTCAAAAGTAACTTATTGGGTGAATACATTCTGAACATAAGAGATTGATTGTTTATTACATTTATCATTCTGATAGTTATAGTACGACCTCAGCATTCTAGAGGTCATGAGTTCAGTTCCCCAAAAGGCAAGTTGCGGAAATGAATTCAATAAATCTCATGCTTTTAGGACTAAGACTGTAACAAGCCCAAGGAAACTACCAAATTTTCTTTTAAAAATAACAGCTCATTGGTGACCTTTGTTAAAAAAAAAACAACTTTCCCAATGTTCTGGCTCGCATGTAAATCGAATCCCATTCTTCATTCGACTATAAGGAATAGGAACATGATTCAACCATTCAGCCCCCAAGCCTGCTGCACCATTCCAAAGGATTATAGCTGATCCAACATTCCACAAGTCCATTGTCCTGCCATTTTCCCTGTAACCCTTGATTCCCTGACTGAGCAAAACACTATCTATCTCAACCTTAAATATTCGCAAGGACTGTGTCCCTACGGCTGTCTGTGCCAGGAGTTCCAAAGACTCAAAACCTTCTCAGAGATGAAATTCCTTCTTGTCTCAATCTTAAGTTGGTGCCCCTTACTTCTGACACTGTGCCCTCTGGTCAAAGACTCTCCCATGAGGGGTAATATCCTGTCATCATTTACTCTGTCAAGCCCCTTAAGAATCCCGTGTGTTTCAATAGATCACCTCTTGTTCTTCGAAACTGCAGTGATTAGAGTCCCAATCTATTTAATCTTTGCTCAGAAGACAATCCCTCCATACTAGGCATTGTCCTAGTCTACCTTCTGTGAACTGTCTCCAATGAATTTTTTATCTCCCTTAAATAAGGGGATCAAACTGCTCGCGGTACTCCAGATGTGGTCTCACCAGCAGCTTGTACAGTTGTAATAACACTTTCCTATTCTCATACTCCAACCGGTTTGAAATAAGGGCCAACATTACATTAGCTTTTCTGTGTGCTGGCTTTCTGTGTTTCCTGCACAAGAAGCCCCCAAGTCCCTTTGTTTGGCAGATTTTTAAATCCCCATTTAATTAATATTCTATTTTTTAGTTCTCCCTTCCAAGATGAATAACTTTGCAGTTTCCCACATGAAACTCCATTTGCCAGCATTTTATTCCCACTTAATTAACCTATCAATATCTCTCTTTAGACAGTTTGTATCCCTGTCACAACCTTCCTTTCTACCTATTTTAGTGTTATTTGCAAATTTGATTACAGTACATTCACTTGCTTCCTCCAAGACACTTTGTATATTGTAAACACTTGCAGTCCCAGCTATGATCCATGTGGAATCCCACAGGTCACAGGTCAAACTGATAAAGAACCCCTTATCCCCAGTTGCTGTTTGCTGACCATGAGCTGATTCTCTATCATTGCCGATGTACAACCTCCAACCCTGTCAGCCCTTATCTTCTGACATCATCTTTTGTGAGGTACTTTGTCGAACACATTCTCGAAGTCCAAATACAACACATCTACTGGTTCCCCTCTATCCACTCTGGTTGAGCCTTCCTCAAAAAAACTCGAATAAATTAGTCAGACATGCTTTTCATTTCAAGAAATCATGCTGACTCTGTTTGTTTTTTAATGCCCTCGGGGAGATCAGAGACAGATAGTACATATTGGCTCACCTGTACAATCCACATGTGGAGACTGCCAATTGCTGGTCATGCAAAACCATGGTTTGAAACAAAATACCAGTAAGAATCTATCCAACAGTGCCTTCTCCACAATCTGATGAGTGTATATTGTTCTGTAAAGCATATAAGCATACCTTAATCTCATACATTGCCTTACTTGACTTTAAAATTTGGATGACTGTGGAAAGTTGTTGGATATTGCGCAGCCTGGGGGCAGAGTCGATTATTGTAATGTAGGGAGAGATATTACAGAATGGAGGAGAAAGTTGGGTACTGCAACATGGGGAAGAGACTCGTATCATGAGGGGAGAGAGTTGGATATTGCAAGGCAAGGGGGAAGAGAGTTGAATATTGCAAGATGAGGGAGGGAGGGAGTTGGATATTGCAAGGTTGGGGAGGCGGAGACAGTTGGATATTGCAAGGCGAGAGGGAGGAATTGGATATTGCAAGGCGAGGCGAGAAGAGTTGGATATATAACAGGACTGTCAGGGATGCTACATATTGCGCTTTGGCATCAGTCACTAATCCTGAGATACGGGGATAGATATTACCTGATGGCTCTTGGGCAAGGAATTAGTCAATGCTTATGGATCTGAGATAGCAATACAGTGTTGGCAGCTGGGTATGGGAGGCAGGAAGGGCATTCCAGCTCCAGCTGGCACACAATCTATACCATAAAGGCACTTACTTGATGGCTGGAACATGTCATATTTCCTTTTGCCCTGAGGCTGATGAACTCAGCCTATACACTTGAAAACTAAAACTTAAGTTAAATTAGAGTATTTCAGCGAACAGCCTGGCTGTTGTGAAGGATATCTGTCCCCAACCTATCTTCATTAAAACTAGAAGTGGGCAGATTGACTCCAGTGCAATGTGGTTGACTCTTAACTGCCCTTTGGGCATTTAGGGATGGGCAATAAATGCTGCCTAGCCAGCAACACCCTCATTCCTGTGAATGAATAAAAAAAAAATTCCGTTTAAAAATGTTTAACTCTTCATCCCAGCCATTCTACCACCTTCCACCCAGTGTTTGTAAAAGCTATTGGAACATGCAATCATGTAAAGAAAATCTGTAACAAAAACAGAAATTGTTAGAGAACCTCAGTAGGTCTGACAGCACCTGTGTGAGGAAAGCAGGGTTAATGTTTTGAGACAACAAGGTGCAGGGCTGGATGAACACAGCAGGCCAAGCAGCATCATAGGAGCAGAGAGGCTGACGTTTCATGCCTAGACCCGTCATCAGAAAAGGGGGAGGGGAAGGGGGTTCTGAAATAAATAGGGAGAGAGTGGGAGGCGGATAGAAGATGGATAGAGGAGAGGATAGGTGGAGAGGAAACAAACAGGTCGAAGAGGCGGGGATGGGGCCAGTAAAGGTGAGTGTAGGTGGGGAGTTAGGGAGGGGATAGGTCAGTCGAGGGAGGACGGACAGGTCAAGGGGGCGGGATGAGGTTGGTCGGTAGGAGATGGAGGTGCGGCTTGAGGTGGGAGGAGGGGATAGGTGGGAGGAAGAACAGGTTAGGGAGGCAGGGACGAGCTGGACTGGTTTTGGGATGCGGTAGGGGGAGGGGAGATTTTGAAACTTGTGAAATCCACATTGATACCATTGGGCTGCAGGGTTCCCAAGCGGAATATGAGTTGCTGTTCCTGCAACCTTCGGGTGGCATCGTTGTGGCACTGCAGGAGGCCCAGGATGGACATGTCGTCTGAGGAATGGGAGGGGGAGTTGAAATGGTTCGCGACTGGGAGGTGCAGTTGTTTGTTGCGAACCGAGCGTAAGTGTTCTGCAAAGCGGTCCCCGAGTCTCCGCTTGGTTTCCCCGATGTAGAGGAAGCCACACCGGGTACAGCGGATGCAGTATACCACATTGGCAGATGTGCAGGTGAACATCTGCTTGATGTGGAAAGTCTTCTTGGGGCCTGGGATGGGGGTGAGGGAGGAGGTATGGGGGCAGGTGTAGCACTTCCTGCGGTTGCAGGGAAAAGTGCCGGGTGTGGTGGAGCTGGAGGGGAGTGTGGAGCGGACAAGGGAGTCACGGAGAGAGTGGTCCCTCCGGAAAGCAGATAAGGGTGGGGAGGGAAAAATGTCTTTGGTGGTGGGGTCGGATTGCAGATGGCGGAAGTGTCGGAGGATGATGCGTTGGATCCGGAGGTTGGTGGGGTGGTACGTGAGGACGAGGGGGATTCTTTTTTGGTTGTTATTGTGTGGATGGGGTGTGAGGGATGAGGTGCGGGAGATGTGGGAGACACGGTTGAGGGCGTTCTCGACCACGGAGCGGGGGAAGTTACGGTCCTTGAAAAACGAGGACAACTGAGATGTATGGGAGTGGAATGCCTCATCCTGGGAGCAGATGCGGCAGAGGCGAAGGAATTGGGAATAGGGGATGGCATTTTTGCAGGAAGGTGGGTGGAAGGAGGAGTATTCTAGGTAGCTGTGGGAGTCAGTGGGCTTGAAATGGATATCGGTTTCTAGGTGGTTGCCCGATTTGGAGACAGAGAGGTCCAGGAAGGAGAGAGAGGTGTTAGAGATGGTCCAGGTAAACTTAAGGTTGGGGTGGAAGATGTTAGTGAAGTGTATGAACTGTTCGAGCTCCTCGTGGGAGCACGAGGCGGCGCCGATACAGTCATCAATGTAACGGAGGAAGAGGTGGGGTTTAGGGCCGGTGTAGGTACGGAAGAGGGATTGTTCCACGTAACCTACAAAGAGGCAGGTGTAGCTTGGGCCCATGCGGGTACCCATGGCTACCCCCTTTGTCTGTAGGAAGTGGGAGGAATTGAAAGAGGAGTTGTTGAGTGTGAGGACGAGTTCGGCTAAGCGGATGAGGCTGTCAGTGGAGGGGGACTGGTCGGGCCTGCGGGACAGGAAGAAGTGGAGGGCCTTAAGGTCATCTGCATGGGGAGTGCAGGTGTAGAGGGACTGGACATCCATGGTAAAGATGAGGTGTTGGGGACCGGGGAATTGGAAGTTCTGGAGGAGGTGGAGGGCGTGGGTGGTGTCACGGATATAGGTAGGGAGTTCCTGGACCAAGGGGGAGAAAATGGAGTCTAGATAGTTGGAGATCAGTTCGCTGGGGCAGGAGCAGGTGGAGACAATGGGTCGACCAGGGCATTCAGGTTTGTGGATTTTGGGA